TGATCCACCTGCCTCAGCCTCCGAAAATGCTGGGATTTCAGGCATGAGCCACTGTGCCCAGCACATCACCCAATTTTTAAATCATTACTTGGTATAGGGTGCACAGCAGTGGTGTGCCCAGTAGGTAACCTAACAATAGCATAAACTGAGCAATATAAACAGGGTAGTACAAACTACAAAAGACTAGCTCTATGACAAGGTAAAAATTACAGCTAATTACATGTTTTGGCAGGTGACAGCTATTGTAAAGTGTTAAATTCAATCATGTCTAATGCCTATCAAAATGTGTTTGGATCATGTTTCTTTTGTAGATTTAAGATATTCAAAATTGGCTATCTGCTCCTCCCGTTTGACAGACAGTCGCATCTTCTCTCACATCACCAGCCGCGTCCCTGAGGCACCATGGTGAAGGTGAAGGTAGGAGTCAACGGATTGGGTCATATTGGGCGCCTGGTCACGAGGGCTGCTTTTAACTTTGGTAAAGTGGATATGGTCGCCATCAATGACCCCTTCATTGACCTCAACTACATGGTCTACATGTTGCCGTATTGATTCCACCCATGGCAAATCCCATGGCACCATCAAGGCTGAGAACAGGAAGCCTGTCATTAATGGAAATCCCATCACCATCCTCCAGGAGCGAGATCCTTCCAAAATAAAGTGGGGCGATGTTGGCGCTGAGTACATTGTGGAGTCCACCGGTGTCTTCACCTCCATGGAGAAGGCTGGGGCTCACTTGCAGGAAGCAGTCAAAAGGGTTATCATCTCTGCCCCCTCTGCTGACGCCCCCATGTTTGTGATGGGCGTGAACCATGAGAAGTACGACAACAGCCTCAAGATCGTCAGCAATGCCTCCTGCACTAACCGCTTAGCGCCCCTGGTCAAGGTCATTCATGACAACTTCGGTATCGTGGAAGGACTCATGACCACAGTACACGCCATCACTGTCACCCAGAAGACTGTGGATGGCCCCTCCAGAAACTGTGGCGCGACAGCTGCAGGGCTCTCCAGAACATCATCCCTGGCTCTACTGGCGCTGCCGAGGCTGTGAGCAAGGTCATCCCTGAGCTGAATGGGAAGCTCACTGGCATGGCCTTCCATGTTCCCACTGCCAACGTGTCAGTCATGGACGTGACCTGCCATCTGGAAAAACCTGCCAGATATGATGACATCAAGAAGGTGTGAAGCAGGCATTGGAGGGGGCTCCCTCAAGGGCATCCTGGGCTACACTGAGCACCAGGTGGTTTCCTCTGACTTCAACAGCAACACTCACTCTTCCACCTTCAATGCTGGGGCTGGCACTTTGTCAAGCTCATTTCCTGGTATGACAATGAATCTGGCTACAGCAACAGGGTGGTGGACTTCATGGCCCACATGGCCTCTAAGAAGTAAGACCCCGGACCACCAGCCCCAGTGAGAGAACAAGAGGAAAAGAGAGGCCCTCATGCTGGGGAGTCCCTGCCATACTCAGTCCCCAACCACACTGAGAATCTCCCCTCCTCAGTTTCCATGCAGACCCCCTGAAGAGGGAGGGGCCTAGGGAGCTCTGCCTTGTCGTGTGCCATCAATAAAGTCCCCTGTGCTCAGCCAAAAAAAAAAGATACTCAAAATTCCAGAAATAGCACTTCATTAGGCCAGAACAGTACAGGTCCTGGATATTTTCCTTTTTTGGTAAACAATCTACTACTATATTTGTTTTTCCCTAAACACACTATTTATCCCCAGTCCTGCTGGCAAGGTTTTTTTTTTTTTTCCTTTTCAGATAGGGTTTCACTCTGTCGCCCAGCCTAGAGTACAAGGGGTGTGATCTCAACTCACTGCAGCCTCAACCTCCTGGGCTCAAGTGATCCTCCCACCTCAGTCTCCCAAGTAGCTGGGACTACAAGCGTATGCCACCATGCCCAGCTAACTTTTTGTAGTTTTTGTACATAAAAGGTTTTGCTATATTGCCCAGGCTGGTCTCAAATTCCTGGGCTTAAGCAATTCGCCCACCTGGTCCTCCCAAAGTGCTGGGATTCCAGGCATGAGCCACTGCACCCGGCCTTCCATAAGCTCTTCTTGAAAGCTTATTTGGAGGTTCCAGCAGGGGAGTACAGCCACACATATACCCTTGACTGAAGACCAGTCCTCCTCTATCGGGATGGTCATCCTCTTTGATCAAGGGTGCAGCTTCAGGAGGGACATACATGGAGTGGAGTGGGAGGAAGGGGACACCCACCTAGCCAGCCAGATTAGCCAAATCAACCCTGGTGATCAATGGGGTGACAGATGTCCCAGCCAGATCACACTCACATCCAATTTATTTATTTATTTATTTATTTTTTGAGACAGGGTGTCACTCTAGTTGCCCAGGCAGGAGCGCAGTGGCACAATCTCGACTCACTGCAACCTCCAAACAGGCTCTTCTTAAACATCACCTTCTCTATGATGTCTTTCCAGTTCTGGTGAAGCATTAATTTTTTTCCTGCTCAAAACTCTAAGAGATCTTGTATATACAGTCCTTACTGCATTTACACAGTTCTGTAACTGGTGATGGAATTAAATATGTACAAGATGACCTTGATATATCCTAGGAAGAAACATTTTTCAGCAACAAAGATCAGAACTCAAGGTATTATTTTTAACAGAAAATATTAATGTAAGGAGAAAAAACTTGAAATCAATACGTAGTTCAAATAAAATTCTGATGAGATGAGAATGAAGACACACTTTCTAAGCAACAAGTTACTACTTCTTTTTTTTTTTTTTTCTGAGATGGAGTTTTTGTTCTGTTGCCCAGGCTGGAGTGCAACGGAGCAATCTCAGCTCACTGCAACCTCCGCCTCCCAGTTTCAAGCAATTCTTCTGCCTTAGTCTCCTGAGTAGCTGGGAATACAGGCGCATGCCACCACAACCGGCTAATTTTGGTATTTTTAGTAGAGATGGGATTTCACCATACTGGCCAGGCTAGTCTCAAACTATTGACCTCATGATCCACCTGTCTCGGCCTCTCAAAGTGTTGGGATTACAGGTGTGAGCCACCGTGCCCGGCCCAATCCTGTGATGATTTTCTAAATGTGACTCTGGTTACTTACTCTCCCCTCTAATTCGTACTGCACACTGCCAAACTTTTTTTTTTTCTGAATAAATATTTGGCATCTCTACCTCACTCAAATCCTCCAAAAAGTTTGTTACTTCCTTGTAAACTAAAGTTAGAACATCTCCGTTTCATGATATGACAATCTGAGAATATGGTCCCAACCTTTATCTACACAGATCTTCTGCTCTAGGTTCTCTCTGTTTTCCACGACACGCCATGCTGATTATGTATTTTGAGTCTTGCATTTCTGTTCCATTCCCCATGGTATACGCTATGTCCACCCACCCAAATCCTGTAAGGCGTAAACACTGAGCATTTACCATGCTCCTAGAACAATGGCACCATCTCAAGTCACACCATTTTTTCAAGCTTTTTCCTTCAGTCTGCAAGGGCCATCTCCTCCTTAGTGACTCTCCTCCAATTAACACGCTGCTGGAGAGAGAAATGCCTATTTAATTCATCCTTTTAAGTCACACTGAGCTTGGAAATAAGTCAAATCAGTGCCACAGATTAAGGCGAGGGTTAAAGAATGAGAGGTCATGCATTTATTCATCACCTTTTTGTTGAGTAATTACCATGTGCCAAACACTATTCTGGGTATGACAGGCAAAGATCCAATCTCATGGAATGTGATTTTGTGTGTTGGAAAGACGGAGGTAACCAACTTTGAACATATTAACACAAAATCACTCTACACTGTGAAAAGTGCTTTGAAGAATGTAACGGCCAGGCGCGGTGGCTCACGCCTGTAATCCCAGCACTTTGGGAGGCCAAGGCGGGCGGATCACGAGGTCAGGAGATCGAGACCATCCTGGCTAACACGGTGAAACCCTGTTTCTACTAAAAATACAAAAAATTAGCCGGGCGTGGGGGCGAGTGCCTGTAGTCCCAGTTATTCGGGAGGCTGAGAGAGGAGTATGGCGTGAACCTGGGAGGCGGAGCTTGCAGTGAGCCAAGATCGCACTACTGCACTCCAGATTGGGCGACAGAGCAAGACTCTGATTCAAAAAAAAAAAAAAAGAAAAAAAGAAAAGAAAGAATGTAATACGGATCTGTCGTGTTAGCAAATGATCATAAGGGAGCCATTTTTAAGAAGGCCGACAAGAAAGACCTCTTAGATTTAATTGACGAGAACTCAGCCATATGATAAATCAGTTAAAGCATTAAGAAACCGAAAGTCCTTACATTTTAAGTCTCAACGACTTTCAGGATCACATTTTGAATTTGCTTAAGTATTATGAAACTCCCCTAGGAGAAAACACTCCCCAATATGAAACAGTAAAGCACAAATAGTGCCCGCTGTGAGCCAACCAAAATTGCTGTCTTTACATAAAACATTTATTGACGGCCAGTTTCATCAGACCCAAATGTGCTCTGAAAGAATACTCCAGTCCAATGACCTCTCCTGACCTCTCCTTCTGTTTGTTCAGGGCTCTCTCGCCTCTTTTGAGAGCTTCATTAAGGACCATTTACCTAAGAGAATACTTTAAGAGTACGCAGGGACCAGTTCTAGTTTCTCGCCGAAAAAACTGTACAGAAAGCAGACATTCAACTACCTCACACAGGCTCATGGCTAAAACCAGTTTCACCAAGGGAAAGATACAAGTAATTCTTCGGTCTGGGATAAAATGCACCGCCCAAGTCTAGGAACACCAAGACAGGGCTCCAGGAAAGCCGTGAGAAAGAGATCTAGTCCAGGCTGATTCAGACCAGTAACCGGCTGAAAGACACTTTGCGTCCCTAAACTAATCTCCTCATCTGCAAACAGATACAACAATGACTCCTGCCTCTCAAAATATGTGAAGCTCTAACGAGATAGCCGTAAAAGAACTTTAAGAGGTGCACGGAGCGGGATGGGCTCAAGTTACTTAAATTATACTTGTGTTAGGAGGAGCGCAAGTGGGAGACTCGTGAACATTACCTTGACTAGCCACACTCCTGTGTTCTGTTTGGCGCCGGTCAGGTCGAGTTCCCCGCGCTCGGCCATGGGTCTGTTGCCGGTGGACGCGTGTGGCCTACAGCAGCGACACCAGGAGCCGGAGGGCTGAGAAGTGGGCGTCCGGAACAAAGGGCAAGCCGCGCTGAGAGGTGAAGAGGCGGCGTTCCTCACCTGCCAGGACACTGGAAACCGGGGGGAAAGAGGAACACGCCGCCGGTAGCCAGACTGCGCCTGCGCACTGTACGTCCGTACGGCGCGCTGTTGTAGACAAACTTTCTGTTTCGGAAATTCCTTGGGTGGGCGTGGCTGTCAGCGTAGTGTGTATCTGAGGGATTAAAACATAGGGTAAGATGAGCCAAAACGTTAGCAACGTATTTAAAGACATGGCCAGCATAACTGAAGAAAAAGATTATCAGAACGGAAAAACGGGGTTCAAAGAGACAAAAGTTGTCAGAACGTGTCCAACCCTAGCCAAAGAGAGAGAAAGAATATTTGAAGGACAGGCTTAGGTTAGTAAATTGGCATCCCCCCTGGCCAACGTCATTAGCACAAGTGGGCACTGGGATCAGACTTGGTAGCCCTGGGTATATTGAAAACATGCCGTTTCTAGACCTGAAAAGAAAGCCGTGTTTCAGCTCAGAGGCTGCCCGAGCTCCTCTGATTAAGCAAGCAGAGCACCTCATATTCCAAAACCCGAAGGTCTGTGACGAAACGAACAAGTAAGAGACAAAACTGATCGTTACCTCCCCTGCTTAAAGTTTTCTCTTTCTCTTCTTGCCTCTAGAATAAAATTCAATCCTCCTGCTTCAACTGGGCCCTCTTAATTTCATCCGTTTTCCCCTCCCACCATTACTCCACCATGCACCGAACCACACCAAACCCAGCAGACTTCCCGGAACACGTCAGAATCTTCCTCGGTCATTTCAGAGCCTCTGCACACTGGATTCCCTTCCTTGGAAGCCCTCTTTTACCCCTGCCCTCACTCCCACTCTTTCCTCTGGTTGGCAAACTCCTACTTATGGTTCAAGACCAATGGAAATGTCACTTCTTATGAGATCTTTTATCAACTTCCCCAGAAGAAATTAGTTTTTCTTCACATCACAGTGTGATACTTAGCACTCTGCACTATAATACATATGTTTACATATCTGCCTTTGCTTTCCAGACAACGAACTCCTCCTAGGCAGAAAGAGCTTTATTGAGGTATAATTTACAAATAAAAAATAGTGCTTTATTCATGTTATATCCACAATGTATAGCACAGTGTTTGACACATTGTCAGGTTTCAGCAGGCTTTGGGTGAAAGAACATTCGCTGAAGAGAAACAAACAGTAAGGTATTGTTAAGAAGGGCAAGTAATGTATTGAATCACACATCAGAGCCTTGCACAAAATTGAGGAAATTTTATGTGTGTTCAGCACAGGGCCAGGAAAAGCTGTCAGAACTCTGCGATTAGCTAGCAAAATTAACAGGAAAGATGGGAAGAGACCTGGAGTGTGTCGAAAATGAAAGTTTCAGTGGCTGGACCCTGTAACCCCACCTTTGGGAGGCTGAGGTGGGAGGATTGTGTCTGCCCAGGAGTTCAAGGCTACAGTGAGTCATGATCGTGCCTTGCACTCCAGCCTGGGTGACAGAGCAAGGCCCTGTCTCTGAAAAATAAATACTAAAACCAAAATTTTTTTTGGCCAGCCACAGTGGCTCACGCCTGTAATCCCAACACTTTGGGAGACCGAGATGGGAAGATCACTTGAGGGTAGGAGTTCAAGACCAGCCTGGTTAACATAGCGAGACCCCCATTTCTAAAAAGAAGAAAAAGAAAAAAAAAAATTTTAAGCAGAAAATGAAGGTTTCTTCTTGTGCAACAACTTGGAAAAGGGCCTAAAACATATAAAGGGTAAGCAGATGAAGGGAACTGCTCTAAGCTTTACTCAGGTAGAAGGAATAAATTGAAATATGAGACCATGGGAGAAGAGAAGCAGAGTCTAGAGCACCCCAGGAATAAACTTTAAAGATTGGAGCCTTGGCCTTGGTCTCTGGGTCATGGGAGGCCTTAAAATGTGTATGTGGTGTGTGTATGTGTGTGTGCACAGAGATTGGGAGAGAAAAAAATTGTTGATGAAAAGGCTAGAGAAGAAAGGAAAAGTGGAGATTTAAAAATGATTATATAGAAGAAAGAAAAAAACAACTTATTGAGCACCTCTTCCTCATACACTGTTGAACAAAGAGCAAGCTTCCCCTACTGTCCTTTACAAACAGCTTGAAGAGGGATGTTTACAGAACCGTGAGAGAAAAGGAGGGCATGGCCTCTGTGAACTAAATTCACAGATTTACTGTGGAGGCCCTTAGGGTGATAGATATTACAGCCAGATCCCTCACCTTCCTAAGGACTCATTATATGCCAGATGCTTGGCTAGTTGTTTTTTGTATTATCCCATTTAATCCTTATAACAATTTGCCAGAGTAGATATTATTTTTCCTCAATATAGCCCTATATGTCATTAAACATATCAACATCCAAGAGCTGAGACCACATCCCAGGATGGGGCTCACAGAGCATAGGATGCAGAGGCCAGTGCCCTAAAAAAGGTAACACCAGAATTTTTTACTCCCTCAGATGATTGGTCAAGTTGTTATCAAAATTTTTAAGGCACAAATGCAATTCTAGGAAGGAAGGCCCAACAACTCATTGCTGGCTACAATTTTTCCAAAAAGTCTAGTAGTGCTTAGGCCAACGTGAAGCTCCATCCTTATCTAGGGCTTAGATTCTAGGTCAGACCTCAAGGCCACCCAACCTTCTTTGCTGCTTTGTTTTTGTTTTTGTTTTTAGACAGAGTCTTGCTCTGTCACCCAGGCTGGAATGTGCAGTGGCATGATCACAGCTCACTACAGCCTCGACCTTTCAGGCTCAAGCTGTCCTCCCACCTCAGCCTTCCAAGTAGCTGGGACTACAGGTGCACGCCATCACACCTAGCTAATTTTTGTCTTTTTTGTAGAGATGGGGTTTCACTGCATTGCCCAGGCTGGTCTTGAACTCCTGGGCTCAAGCAATCCACCCACCTCGGCCTCCCAAAATGCTGGGATTACAGGCATGAGCCACCGTGCCCAGCCCCAACCTGCTTAATAGGCAGAACTACATTCTTTTTTGTGGGTCTTCTAGACTAGGTGCAGCAGGAAAAACCCCTAACACCACACCCACCACCAAACATGCTTCAACCTAGATGAGTGTTCTCAGCCTCTGGTTCCTGTATAAGTTGCATTAGAATTCCCTGGGGGAAATGTGTTTTAAAATGAAGACACCTGAGCCCCAATCCAGGCAAACAAAATTAGACTTTCTGGAGGTGAGTCTAGAAACTGACATTTGTAGCAAGCTCCCAGAGTGTTTCCTAGGCACACCAAAATCTGAGAATCGTTGTTCTAAATGATAGAGTTCTAATAGATAGAATTCTAATTGATATTTTTCTGATCAATATAGGTCATTAGAACTGGGCCAGTTTCCAAAGTCTGAGACGTGTGAAAAAGTTTACCAGAAATTCTAGCTAGAATTCCCTCATGCCTTGTTAATTCAGAACACCACAATTCTATCAGGTAGCCATTAAGCAGCAAAACCATTAGGCGAGATGTTACAAGTGAGTTGAGGGAATTACAATGACTTTAACAGATAGCTGAGCTCACTTTTAGATTTTGTCCTTGTCTATCATGCACAAGCCTAATTTCTCCAGGCCAGAGATTTTCTTTGTTCATGTTCACTCAGAAACATTCTAGCAAGAGAAAGTATTATCTCCAGGGGAGTTCATATAGGCAAAAAATGCTACGACCAAGACTTTCTTAAAAAACCAGACTCATTACCTATTGGTTACTAACATAAACATTGTCATTCAAAAATTACAAATGAATATGGCATTGTGGTAATTCATTCAATTTCCCTGACATTAGTGATGTAGTAGGTTGATAATTTTGCTTCAATATGACACCAAGGCTATAAAACTCCTTCTCTGAATTCTCCCTGCCTAAATTCCTGAGAGATCCCTTGTTTCTCCAGTTATACACAAGCAAAAAGAAATACTTCCTAAAATAGTTTCCATATTGTTTAGTATAGAAAGAGAGTATGAGCTTTGGAGTCAAACTTTTTACCTTTTTTTTTTTGCTTTGTCACCCAGGCTGGAGTGTAGTGGCACTATCTTGGCTCACTGCAACCTCCAGTGATTCTCGTGCCTCAGCCTCTGAAGTAGCTGGAACTACAGGCACGTACCACCATGCCCAGCTAACTTTTGTATTTTTAGTAGAGATGGAATTTTACCATGTTGGCCAGGCTGGTCTCGAACTCCTGACCTCAGGTGATCTGCCCCCCTCTGCCTCCCAAAGTGCTGGGATTACAGGCGTGAGCCACTGCCTGGCCAGTCAAACATATTTCAAGCGATACTTCTGCTGTGTACCAGCCTAATTATGTTAATCTCTCTGCACCTGCTTCCTTGCTTATATAATGGAATTATTATACTCTGTAGAGTTATGATGTGACTAAACGAGAAAACATATTAAAAGAATTTAACATTATGATGTGGAAATTATTTTGTAACTGCATTAATTATATTGCAATTATATATATTGCAATAAATATACATAATTGAAAGGAAACACAAAAGATTTATTATAGGCAGCAGTATACTGGTAAATGTTTAACAGCTGGGCTCCCTAAACTCCCCTACCCACAGGAAAGCCCTGATTTGTAGTGTTTACCAATTTCCATGGTGCAAGTACTTCTACAATAGCTGATTTCAAGCTGCCAAGAAGAGATCACTGAAGGCAACGTTGGAAGAGGTGCACTGTACGTTGTATAGTATATAAACTCTATAGGCTGGGCACAGTGGCTGAGGCCTATAATTCCAGCACTTTGGGAGACCAAGGCGGGTGGATCACTTGAGTCCAGGAGTTTGAGATCAGCCCTGCCAAAATGAAGAAACCCCGTCTCTACTAAAAATACAAAAATTAGCCGGACGTGGTAGTACACCCCTGTAATACCAGCTACTCGGGAGGCTGAGACACAAGAATCGCTTGAACCCAGGAGGCAGAGGTTGCAATGAGCCAAGATCATGCCACTGCACTCCAGCCTGGGTGACAGGGCGAGACTAAGTTTCAATAAATAAATAAAATATACTGTATAGTATTGTAATACATTGTGTAGTATTTTCACTAGATAG